GGCGCGCTGGAGAAGCAAGGAGCAATCCAGAAACGCGCAGCAGTTTGACCCGTGATCTGTCCCGCCTCTTGTGATAAGTATTTAAGCTGGTGAATTTCTTTTAATATTCAGTGTGTATGTTCAGTATCGTCATCGACTGCGTCTTCCGTGTATCGTCGTGTATCCCCCCACTGTTCAACGTCACCTTCCCGCGTCTTCAGTATTCAGGCTCGTGGGTATTCAGTGTGCTCCACGTTTCGCGTCCAGAGGTCCAGTGCAGCAGTATGGTGCTGCAATCCAGTTATCGGCACTTCGTCCGCAGCGGCTGTCGCTGCAATCGCCGAACTAAATCCCGTCGCCCCAGCGAAGCCTTGTAAACTTGTGTTCGTGTTAATAAAGTTTGTTCGTCTACTCCAATCTGTCCACTACGCACCACAGTACAATAGCATTCATCCAAGTTCTCGTCTGAAACTCGTCGTCAGCATCGTCGTCCTCGTGCTCCTCGTAACAGCCCTACGTCTTAGAAGGGTAGACCAGGGTAGATAATTAGGTCCTCGCCCTCAGTAACATATATCGGTCACTGTATTGTTGTTATTGTTGTTCAATAAACTCACACGGACGGCTGTCAACACACACACACTCCAACTTCACACAGGCTCTTGACAACAGCTCGACTAAGGTAAGTTCCTTTCAAATTAATCTTCACAGGTCGCTTTCTGCCGGCTAATTGCGCAAGAAAGCGAGTTGACTGGCGCGTTCTTGAGTAGCTCCAGTTGACTGGCGTTGATACAGAGCGTTTTAAATTTGGTCTTATTTTGCATAATTAGCGAACTCATTATGTTTAGGTTTAAATGAAAAATTATAAATGAATGAATAAAATGTGGGAACGGAACTGTGTGTCGTTGGTCAAAATTACACAACGAATGAACAGCAGCTGATCAATAACTGATTCCGAAGGATGTAGGACAGTGGAAAGAAGGAAATCGACTATATCTTGGTAGATGCTTGGCGCATTCTCAAGAAGGTATGCAGCTCAGCATTCTTTCTCTTCGATGTGTGTGAACATCCCAGTGGCATCAAACGATTGTCTCGGCGTCTTGATGCTCTTGGTATTTTGTGAATTACGTGTTTATTATGAACTGTTTCCGCATTGCTTTCTCAGTGAAATTGTAAGGGTTGGTCATTCCTCCCATAGAAACTCTGGAATGATGAAGTGGTGAATCGGCGCGAAGATCAATACGTTCCTATAAAAGGGGTGATCCCTTCGAGACACACACTCACGCTGACGAACCACGTTCCCTTCTGTTGCTGATTTTGCTTCGGCTTCTGGTTTTGCTTTGGGCTCACTCACACGCTCAGTTCTTCGACACACATACGCTCTACTTCTGGTTCTGTGTTTTTTCGGTTGTACCGCGTCCGCTCAGTAGCCTTCTGTTGTGCTGTGTTGAAAAAAATAAACTTTTGATTTGAGGTTGCGTTCGGTTCACGTTTATTCTTTGCAGGTACAACCGGGTACCTTCTTGGCGGGTCGTGCGTTAGGCTCCCGCGGGAACTCGTGAGGTTGCACTAGGTGAATTAGGGGAGTTGCTCGGGAGAGGTCGTCTATAGAGGGTTCGTGTCTCGTCCGACCTCCTGGACTATCTAACCCCTAGAGCAAACCACTTCCCCTTCTTTACAAAATGACGTGGTGGTACGATTTTGAAAATTTTTATTACGATTCAAATTTTGTCATTCCCGCGGAACCTCATTATTTCTGTTCATATTTGTCTAAATTCCCTAAAAGTTAAACGTGAAATTATAAAAAGGTACTATTAAGAAACCAAGGGCTTACCAGTGTTGCTGGAATTATCGACTAGAGATGCAAATGGATTGCTTGCGAAAGTGTTCGCCGCACTGTTCAACAGCGGCTCCTGCACATCCTGGTAGAGACGCTGCAGTGCCGCTTGGCCACCGGGAATGCCCTAAACAAATAGCAGTAAAAAAGTAGCAAATTAAAAAAGGATGCAAATTTTGAAACGCTACAGGCCCAACATTAAATTTAAGAAATTGTTGAACCAAATTCGACTCAAAAAAAAAAAAAAAAATCAGCGCTATCTGAAGCAGTACCTGAAGGTTCCGTATCGCCTGGTCGTGATTACGCATCATTTCTTGAAACATATTCGGATTCCTTACCATTTCCATCGTCTGTCTAATAATTTCTGGATCATTTAGCAAATGTCCGAGCTCTGGATTCGACTGCAAATAAAGCACAACATACAGTGCGTATAACTAACACGATTTCGGATAACGATAATGAAATTGTAAAATAGAGGGGCTGGACTTAAATGTCACATGCAAGAAGATATTTTACGATGCAGCCTGTGTTTCATCCCTTAGCTGTAAACAGGGACCGAATTATGCACGCAGGTAGAAGCGGGAATCATCAGCACAACCTCCTACCAGCCATGTTTCGAACAGTTATGCAATTTATTTGCAAGACGTATGCGAAAGAAAGAGAAATCAGTGAGAGATCAATGATTTTCACTGCTCTGCACTTTTGTCTATGCAAAAATAGTTCAAACATTGGAGAATAGTTAAAGATTTACGCAGACTGAGAAAGAAAAGAAAGGAGTTAGCCAGCGATACGGACAACCAATGTATGTAATTATGAGGAAACGCTTTTCATAAGAAAAGCGTGCTGACCAAGCGCTTTAATTCCTGAATCATCAAGGTGGATGTATTTTGCTAAGTACTGTTCGATTCTTGAAGCAAAATCTAAGAACGGAGCGTTCTATTTTGGCAATATCAAACTTTTTTTGCCTATAGTTACTTATAAGCCGTCTAGCTCAAAAACTGAGAGGATAAATGAGGGATAACTGACCTCAATGACTTGCTGTATCTGTGGACTATCGGCGATCAGTGAGCGTATGATATCGGGATTGTTCAGGATCGACTGGGCCAGTGGTGTGTTCATCAGTTCACGCATTACGTCTGGATTTTCCATTAGTTGCTGCGTCATTCCAAATGCACCACCCATTCTGCCTCCCGGTGCATTTGCTCCGGTAGCTCCGCTCTGAAAAATCTCGCTGGCACTCAAAGTACTCATTAAGCTGATGAAGGCTTACGAACTGAAATCCTCAAATAATAATTTTATTTGAAATAATTTTACTATTTCTACTAATTTCTTAATATTATTTTCTCTTCTAATCTCCTTTTCCTACTTCAAAATACCTTCCTTAAAGTAACTTCCTCGAGTCAAATAACTCACCGAAGCAGACGTGGTTCCTCCAGAAGCACCACCGGGCTGAAACAAAGAACTGTTGTTGTTGCAAGCATAACGAATTGAAATTCTTATAAACAGAAACTCAAAAAGTTAAAAAATGCCTCGTTTTTCTGTGTCCCCTGACCTCATTCTAAAAAATACACCCGCTAATTTTGAAGGCAGCAAGCTGTGCTACTTCCTATCGCTGATCCTCCCCCTTCCTCCCGCCCCCCCCCCTTTCGCCCCCTCAGCTTGCTGAGAGAACTATTGGTGAAATTTGGAAGCTCCACCCTTGAACATTCAAATGTGCTTTCCTTATTCCGGCACGAAAAATGAATCACGAATAACACAGTTTAACACAGTTTACACAGCTTATTTTAAAAAAAATATTCGTCACAACAATCTGAACCCTTTTTATTTTCCTTCTTTCATTATCACCACAGACCTTCGGCGATTACCTCCCCACCACGGCACTTTCTTATTTCATGCACGAATTTTGCCATTCCTCCGGGTAATACCCTTAGCTACGGGGCTGTTCCGGCCCCTTCTTCTTATCCTCACAGGGTCTTTTAGGCCCGTACTGCCTTTTGTAGTGAATTATTACAGCCAGGAAAGTTGCACACGGTTTAAGCGTGCAGTTTTTATAAAATTGATGCAAATTCCAAATAATATTAATCAAAACTTCACTAACCCGTTGTATATTACGCACTACAAGGTGGATCGCCATGCCATCTCGAATCGCTGAAAAATACACGTCTTTCTGTGAGTACTCAGCCGTTTTTCAAGAAAAAAAAAACGCTTGAATTCTCTTCCAATGAGTGCTTGGCTGCTTGGCGGAGGAGCGAGGGGGAAGGGGAAGAGGGAGGGGTGCTGAGGAAACGCTTGAATGAAAGAGCCGTTCAAATCCCAGTTGTTTTTCTAACGATTTTAATTGAACTAATGATTTTGACAGTTCGCAGTCCGATTAATACCGCGAGAAGGAAGAGTTGTGAAAAAAAAATCGGTTTGAATAATCTATATATCAAACGAACCGGTTCCAGAAACCAAAGAAATAAAGAAGAGTAATTATACAAATTCAGAACAGGATACCGAGATTAAAATTTTCGAAAAAACAACAGATTTGATGTCAAAATTTTAAGAAAACACCATAAGGAATTTTTTGGTGCATGATTAAAAATTACATAAACTTACAGTGATGCTCCAGTGTTTCATGATCCTTCAGTATTTTGCCGGAGAAAATCAGGCAAAGTTTCTCGGCCGGCTGACTGATTAGTTCCGAAAGCGTCGTTTTAACCTTCAACATGAACCATTTAAATTTGCAGAAAACAAAACATAACTGGTTCAATAAAAGAATAAAGCTTTATGACTTCATAAGAAGTTTTCGACCTACATATTTCATACTGGCATGCATGGTACTGAGGTTTTTATTATCAACCCTCGTCTATCACAACGCTGACATTCCTATTTGAAATGATCACTTCTTGGTTGGGCCTCGATGGCCTCTTCTACCCTTTCTATTTCAGTACTGGACCGAGATCTTCCAGCAATGAATTCAAATTACACCTGAATTGCAATCGAAATTTTCTGTGGGATAAGAACTCTTCGTTTTTGCCGTTCACTGCTTGCGTCGGTCCATACTTATTCCAGTCATCGATGTGGTTTTTTTATCCACTTATAGGCATTTTGTGGCTCTCGCAAGTACCAAATTTCAGGGGTGATGGGCCGAAGCATTGGTTGCAAAACGTACTTGGAATGTAATTGAATGACACCGCTGAGAAGCCATCACTTTTTTTTCGGGTAAATTTCTAACTCGGGAACCTGAGAAGCTAGAAAACTGGAATTTTAAGGAGATGTTCCCCGTTCAAGTTGGTATTAATGAGTTCAAACCCAGCCCCTGCGTATGCTGGTCCCCACATTCGGGCCCGTGAATGTTATTTTAGGCTATTTTCATGCACTATTCCTGGGGCAAAAACATAGTGCGCTTTCGACCGTTTCAAACTTTTTTGAGACTGAAAAATGTATCACTGTTTCGATAAATTACGCGCTATTTGAGCTGATTCGCTGATCAGTTACTTGCACAGAGCTAAGGGATGAAACACAGACTGCAACGAAACATGTCTTCTTCCGCATGATACTTCGGTTTTTATGCATTTTTTGCATCTATGCAATGCAGAAAACACATACTGACGAGAGGTTGCCCGTGTGTGTCTGTGTGTGTGTGTGCGCAGTACGTCTGTACTGATTTCTCATTTCGAGACCTACAGAAGCTGCAGGGCTGAAACTTTGGGAACTTAATCTACATGCGCGTACGGGCCTCCATCTCCAAAATGTGCGCTCTTACCCGCGTGGGTACGAGTCCGCTAAAGCTTTTTTCGGGTAAATTTCCAACTCCGGAATCTGAGAAGCTAGAAGACTGGAATTTTAAGGGGATGTTCCCCGTCCAAGTAGGTACTAATGAGTTCACACCCACCCCCGGGTATGCTGGTTCCCACGTTCGGGCCCGTGAATGTTTGTTTCGGGCAAGTTGCTAATTCGGAAACCAGGAAAGCTAGAAAGGTAAAAATTTTAGACGAGTGTATTCAAACAGCCCCGGTGGCTAGTCTCAATTCTCCTGGCTAGAAGCATTTACCGGAAAAATCGGTGCCGGTAGCAACAAAAACTGCGGGGAACTATCCAAAAAACGCATCTTCACACCGGCGGGGTGAACTGGCTATCTGTTATCCTCTGTTAAGAGATGCAACTTCCAAAAAAAAAAAAAA